TAGGATAGTATAAGAACATAGTATGCATTTGGGAAATGTTCATTATTAATCCCAAAAAGGCCCAAGTGATATCCAATTTAACTTGTTAATGATATAATAAAAATGTACGTTCTTACTTACGTTTTTGTTTGCTTGTTCTTATCAGTTGAGACAGATGTGTTAAAATCTCCCACTATAATTATGGATTTCTCTTTTTTTCCTTGTAGGTTTGTCAATAATAGTGCAAATCTAGAAAAAGTCCAAATGTCTATCAACAGTAGTGTGTGTGAATTATAGTCAATTCACACAATACCTTACTACAAGCAATTAGAGCTGCTCCTCAATTTATGATGAAGTTATGTCCCGATAAACCTATTGTAAGTTGAAAATATCATAAATTAGAAATGCATTTAATAGACCTAAACTACCAAACATCATACCTTAGCCTAGCTTACATTAAACGTGCTCAGAACACTTACATTAGCTTATAGTTGGGCAAAATCATCTAACACAAAGCCTATTTTATAATAAAGTGTTGAATATCTCATGTAATTTATTGAATACTGTACTGAAAGTGAAAATCATTATGGTTGTATGGGTACTAGAGGTGTGGTTGCTACTGAATGTGTATCACTTTCATACTACTGTAAAGCCAAAAAATTGCTAAGTTGAACCATCATAAGTTGGGGATTGGTTTATACTTACAAGCTACAATATAAATGAGTCCCAGAAACATAATTCTGATTAAAAGAAGCCATACACAAAATAATACCGTATGACTTCTGCAGAGTTCAGAAGTACCCAAGATTACTCTCACTTCTGACACCAACTACAAAGTTAGGACCCCAATAACATCCACACTTCCAATGCCAGTTGCAACTTCAGGGTTTCCTAAGACTAACTCAGGTTTGATAATTTGTTAGAAGGGCTTACAGAATTCAGTGAAACTGTTATACAAATGGTTATGGTTTATTATAGCAAAAGGATACAAATTAAAATCAGCCAAAGGAAGAGATGCATGGGGCAGAGTCCAGGAGAGTTCCACACAGGGAACTCCCAGTGGAGTCATGGACAGAGCTGACTTTTCCTGGCAACATTGTATAACAATACACATGGAGTGTTGCCAACCAGGTAAGCTCATTTGAGCCTTGATGTTCAGAATTTTTATTGAGATTCAGTCATGTAGACATGGTTGACCATACATGTGGCTGATCTTCAGTCTCTAATCTCTCCAGAGATGGAGCTGATACTACTTGGCCCAGGGTACCCAGATAAGCAGACATGCTTATCGGTCAGGACATTCCAGGTGCTAGAGATCACCTCCCAGGAGCTGAGGACAAAGGCCAGTTCTCTCTTTGGATAAGGTTAATTCTTTACTACACAATTTCCTTCAGGTATAATTTCAAAAACTGGCAATAACAAACTGTATTTTCACAAGGCTAATTAATAGTAAACTGCTTGGAGAGAATGAGTGGGTCTTCTGGGGTGTTCACAGTGCTCTCTTTTTACTGAGGTATATACACTTATAATTTGTATACCCTTTTATATGTATATTATAGGCTTCAAAATGTAAAGCAATTTGTAACAGAGTTCTAAAATAATGTACAAATAAATGTTTTAACTATCATTCTACCCTCGTTGAATTATGAGCTGTGTAAGTGCAGGGAAGGAAATCGGGGGGATGAGGTGGGAGGGAATCACCTTTCTATGGTGGTGTTACAATGTCCCGTCCACTCCCCCCCACAGTGGACTGGCCAGGAAAAGTGGCACTGAAAAGAGCGTGTTGTTAAGTGGAGGAATGATTTGTGTGGAGAATAGGTAAACAGAGGAAGAACAGAAGTTGGGAGGCAGATGGAGAGCCATTGCAATAGTCCAGGAAAGAAAGGGTGAGAACGGAAACTGAATAGCAAAGGTTAGGAGGTAAGTGCAAGTTGGAGAGGTCAAATCAACCAGACATTGCAAACTACTTGGGTGTGAGGGGAAATATGTCAAATATCCCCCATTGCAATCTTGCTTCTGCACTACCAGATCAGCTCCCTGCTTGGTCTGCTGGTACCACCAGGCAAGGAAATCAAAGGATAATCAAGGATAATCACCTAGTCACTTGACCTCACTGGAACCATGGAGGCAAGTGGTCTTTCCATTGGTGTTTGGCTGCAGCAAGGTGGGTATTGTCAGAAAGGGTTCCTGTTACTTGGCCTTTTTCAGGTCCTTTGCCTTTTCATGGAGGGTTCTGTTTTGCCTGTGCCTGTTGGTGGTTCCTGGTTGAAGGCTTCTGCACACTTTTTCCGGGGCACAAGGGAATAAAAGAGAAAAGCCAGGAAACTCAACACTGTGTCATTCCCCAGGAGTCCACCTTCTTTTTATCTTTCAGGCTTTCTATGCTTGTTTGTTGTTTTAAATCCAGGGTTTTAGTTGGAACAGGAATGACATGGCAGTAATAGAGCTTCTCCATCTTGGCCAGAATCAGATGTCTTTTTGTCTTAAAATTATATGAGCTATTTTTTATTATTTGAATACTTGAATAGATTGGTGAGCAGCCTGGAGAAAATTAACACACCAATTAGAAAGAAAAATTCATCAATGCCACAAGAAAAATGATAGTCATTCTGTATGATAACTTCATTTATCCTTTTTTCTTTCTAATCTCTAAAATGTAATGAATTGGAGACATGGATACAATGCATATTAATAGGGTCTTATTTTCTATTATCAACACTGAATTATTTTATAAGCTATTAATGTCATTATTTTTCAATAAATAATCAAATGGCAATTTGTGGAGAGAGTTATGTTAAATAAAATGACTGAAATTGAATCATGCTCAAAGGTTAACCCAGCAACTTTGGGGAAAAGATCTCAACAATTTAATCCATCACTACAGAGATGAGCACAATTTCCCAGGTCTGTTGATGATTCAAAAAAAGAACCTGATCTCATGTGGTTTGAGTTCACCTGGCTGAGTGCCACCTGATAACCACAAATGCCATTATTCAGAAACTCATCTGACTCCAGAGCAAAAGAAATATAAAGACCTGTGTATGCATTTTTTATAGTTGCATAAGAAATTACCACAAATTTAGTGACTTAAAAACAACACCCATTTATTAACATGCAGTTTCCAGTATGGCTGGATTCTCTGCTCAGGGTATTATAAGGCTGAAATCAAAGTGCTTGGCCAGGTGGATCCCTTGTCTGGAGGCTCTAGGGAGATTTCTGCATCCAAACTCATTCAGGTTGTTAGAATTTGGTTTCCTATGGTTGTAGGGACTGGGGTCTCTGTTTCTTTGCTGACTGTTATCCAGGGTCCACTCTCAACACCTTACAGCCATTTACATTTCTTCTCAGGAGTCTTCCTCTGCCTTCAAGCCTGCAATGGTATGTTAAATCCCATTGTGCTCCACATCTCCCTGACCTTCCTTCTGCTGTCAGCAAGAGCAAGGACCATGTTAAGAATTCTTCCTAACACAACCTACATCCATCAGTCTGTAAAGAGTGAAGTTCACATTCAGGCACTTCTGGGAATTCCCAGAGGGATCTTGGTGGTGAGAAATTCTAGTCAGTTACCAAGTGATACTCACATTTTAATCCTCTTTTCTCTTCCTGGGCCCTGCAGTGTCCTTGTCCTCTTTCACCCTTGCAGCTTCCATAAACTTCCTTAAGGCACCACCATTTTCACCTGGTGTGGCCGAAAATTTCACCAGTGCCAAAGCAAGAAATTCTGTGAGGAGTCCTATGATGAGAAGTGGGGTGCGGGGGGGATTGTCCTCTTTCCCCCTTTTGTTTGCATGCTTTAAAATTAGTGTTAAAATATGAACACTTCCATGATACAGTTTTTTGTTTTATTTTTTACTTTTACTATAACCTATAACTCTTTGTCCTTTTCTCCTTGGGCATCTGGCATCAATTAATGGGACCAGTCTAAATGATGAATCTAATTGACAGAAACAACCAGAATCTCACTTGGACCAGATTTCCCCTAGGGTGTCTAAGCTTTGGCCTCATTAATTATGACCACTAACTTCACGAGGGCCCTCGGTGTTGCCCAACAACCCTAACATATTCGCTGGTGTGGTGGCTCTCCCATGCTCCTAGATTATTTCATATTTTCCACCCTCCCTTTCTGCAAACCTCCAAAACCTCCTCCCCAGTGCCCACTCTTGGCAGAGGACCTTCCTCCTATTGGACTGAGAAATAGAAGCAATTGCGAGAGCCCTTCCATGTTTCCCCACATCCGTCCACCCACATGCCTGTGTGCCCTTGCATCCGCCTTCCCTCCTGATGCCACAGAAGCCCTCGTGCTTCT